GTTACAGTACTGTTCTGTGCTGTGTGAAGAATGTTGGAGATGTTTTGATAATATTTTTGTGTCCAACTCGTGGCTATAACGTGCACCGTCATTACCGTAGTGCACTTAAGGGTCATACCGACATCGGCGATAGCTCTGTGAGATGTTGTTCAATGAGCTAACGTTAGATTTTGTTTATATCTTAAGTGTAAATAAGTACTTACCTATAATTTACGAAAGTTTTATTGTATTAAAAAAAAGTTGTACGAAACTAGAGCTAACGGGGATTAAGTTGCGGGTGGAAGCTATTTTCTCATATTTTCTACACACCAATTACTTAAACCTCATAAAAAAATGGTGTGATTTCATGAAACCATGATGCAAGTGAAACTTTTAGTGTTTTCCTCCTTTTTTTGCATGTAAGTGATTGACGTTATTCTAGCATAAAAAAGTGGAAATTAAAAAAGTTCTATCCTTGGGTGGTAATCGAACCTAAGCCGCCCTTGTGGCAGGTGAGCTTCCTACCACTGAACCATCGATTCTTGTTGATAGGGTCAAAATTTTATGTGCAGCCTTGAACGGCTGCACATAATTTTTTTTTTGTTCACAAAATTTAACTTACTGCAGTTCTGGACAGGCCGAGGTCTTTTAGAAGGTTATAGAGAGATTTTGCTGGTATAGAGGTATACCTCCTACTTCTACTTCTACCGCTCCTACTTCTACCGCATACATATAAATTAAGTAGATAGCCATTTTTAGTTAGTTCGTTAGTAAAATCGTAATATTTATTCAATTTTATTGTGTGGTCTTTTGGAATGTTAGTTTCCCATGGTACAGTAAGTACTATTTGTTTGATGTGCCTAGAAAAGAGGAATATGTGCGGCCTGGCTGACGAAACACCAATATCCTCTGGTACTTTATAGTGCTTTTCATACGTATCCATTAAAATAGACCAGTTAGGTGCAGTACCTAGAATTGAGAAAGGCTTGCTTTTCGAGTTAACAATTTAATCTAGCCACTGACATTATTAAGACATTTCTTATGAATAACATAAAAATAAGAAAATATTAATAGATATTCTTTAATAAGATTGGTCAATTCAAGTACCAATAAAAGCAGTATGTGTTAGTGGTGCTCAATATTGCTTTCTGTGAAACCTCTTAAATTCTTGTCAATTTAAGTAGGCAATTTACCTGATAGAAACGGTTAGAAACAAACTGACAGTCGCACATACGAGCGGCACTGAGTCTGCATTTTGTATATATCGAGTTAATCGGCTTACGCCAACAATCGAGCCTTTCGATTCAATCGTTTCGAGAAACGATCGAGATTAATTCACAGTATGTTTTGCCTATTGTGTTTCGTGCGCTACCGAGGACTGTACAGCATTGTGCGTCTTGTTATTATTTATTTAATAAACGCTGGGATTCTTTGTCCGCTGTTTCGTTTAGTTTTGACGCTCCAAAGGTGTATTGATCTTTGAAAGGAGGTGTGACTACGACGGTTGGGGATGTAGCATTATCACGCGTTTTGGCATTTGATGTTTGTGTACAATCACACGCGTGGTTGAGTAAACTCTGCCATTTTAAAACGACATTAGTTGAGTAATCGTGCGAGGTTAAGTATTAAGTTTGCTAAAAAAACTAGAAATTACTAGAAAAGCAACAATTGCTTTTATACAGCAAGTCAGATATTCATTTCATCAGAAGCGGTTCTGTTGTTTAGGAGTGTAAACATAACAAAGACAGGACTGAACAACTTTCACATTACCATGGATTGTTGAAGCCACATTTCGTTTTTCCATTAGTAAGTCAATGTAAATGTCTTAAATATGTTTTCAGAGAAAATAGTGTACCCAACATAAGAAAGAGAAGAGTCCTTCCTTTTACAAAGAGTTTTAACATCATCATCAGCCTATTAATGTCCCGAATACTGGGGCACAGGCATTCCCTATGGGTGAAATAGAGAGAACGCACCATGACCCACCACGCGGGCCCAGTGCGAATTGGTAGGTTTTGACCGATGACGATGCGAAAGTTGCTTAACCCAAAGATCACATCCAAACGCGCTAACCACTTGCCCCTCAAAATTAAAGAAATTAAACATCAAAAGAAATACTTATAGAAAATTGTGGAGAGTTGTAATTGCCTTTTATTATGGAAGTAAAATGGACCACCGCCAGCCCTGAAGAGATATCCACTATCACGTAGAAAACTGCAACTGAACTCTCTGAGGCTCTAATTGTTGCGATTCTTCAGATATATTCCTAGATACTGGTTTCTTCTTCTGAACGGGCTAATAAAGGTAAATTATTTAACCTAGTCTAATCGCAGAATAATAAGTGCATATCCTGAGATACGTGATAAGCACATATATGCAAAATTAATTTCCCTGTTGGTGTCGGTTCTGGCAAGATTTTGTATACTTAAAACTAAATTAAACATGAGTCTCTCTTAGGTTTGAAGAATCATGCTAAAATCGACACCATTATGTACATTATTAAGAAAATGTGCTTGTAACCTGTAAAAGCTACAAAGTAAAGTTATGTTTTTATATTACTTTGTCAGAGACATCAATTCAGTTGCTGTGGAAATAACACTCGTACATCATTACAGGTGTAGGTATCACTTCAGAGAACATGCGGCAAGAGGCATTTCAGTAATCGGGTCGCAAGCTATCGACAGATTAGATAAACCAAGCGTAAATATTTAGCGGGTAAACAATGATCGGTCGTGTATCACGCACGCAGTACCTACCAACTTGCAAGAACATGACTGTAGGTAACATAGATTGTGTTTACGTGATCTAAGTTCTGATGGTAAGACAATTTCTAACATCAACTTATCCACTAAGATCTAACTAATAAACATAAAGCTTACACTTATTTTGTTCATTCAATATAAATAGAAAAATTCATATAACCCCAAAATCATCTCAATGAGACACCGCTTTTGCCAAAGGTCGATAGGCCTAAAATGTTGTCCGAGACAATGGTGTTAAGTGGTTACTCGCCTACTCTGAACTCGGATAAAATTTAACTGTTTGTGCGGGAAATTTTTATATTTCAAATGTTGATAAAATAATCAGCCAGCCTGGACACCTAGACCACGTGAATAATCTTCTTTAGATATACAAATCTAGCAGTTTAATGCTTAAAACAAAATAAAATAAAAGCTTTTCAATTTTGATTTTTACGTTACCTTACCCTGAAGATGACATCGGGACCTTAGTACCAAGCTTCTCCCGACTGTCAGTGGGCGAACATGTCATGAACCGTAAATGAAAAAAAATATGGTCTATGCGGCAATTTTTTTCATTCTATGTTTTCCCTTTGCTCCCAGTCCAGCATTATAAGTACATATTAAAAATGTTGAGAAAAACTCCTTCAGATATAAAAATCTTAGAACAAAATAGCAGTCCAATGCTTAGAACAAAATGAAATCAAAGCTTTTCAATTTTGATTTTTACGTTACAGTGCCCGGAGAATGACATCGGGACTTTATTACCAGGGCTACATCTCATTATAGTTAGTAGACTACCACAGTCTACTTACTATAATGAGATGTAGAATGTGTGAATTAACGACCTACGGCCATTTACTTGTAGGGGTCGGTATTTATATTAACTTTATTGCTTCCACGTTAAAGTATGATAATACATTAGTGTATAACTATCATTAATTTGCGACCGCCACTATTTTACACGAGCAAAAATTAACACTTTACTATTGACGAAAATGAGAGATCCAAAACTAACTTTTGTAATTAGATTTTTTTTTCTTTTTTCAACAAAAATACAAGTTCTGCCTGTTTTTCTTGCATAAAAAAATTGTTTCTACCTCGTCATGAAGGTAGCAACTGATTTATGCCTACCCATTAAATATACCTTTTAATAAATTTGGAAATTTTCTGTTTGTCATGCGAAATCCTGAATGCAAAAGTTTATTTTTTGCTTTCTAGGGATTTTCCGAGGGTGGAATGAGTTTTGAAAATCGGACCTCCCTATTTTATACCGCTGTTCACTGAAAAAGGATTAATTAATACTTATTTTATGTCAGTGCTCAAACTTTTTTCAGTTTTTTTTTGCACATTGCAGGGAGGAACCCTGTAGTGAGGTAAAAGGTTGCGATTTTCACTCGACAGCAAAGTTATTCTGTGATTCGTAAGCGTTGGAACCATCTCTATTATTATAATTTGGATTCTATAAACAAAAACCTTAGTGCATGTACTAAGCTACTATACTCTATCAATTCAAGTACTCGCCCCAAAAAGCAACTACTGAAGTAAGCACGCTCATGCACATTTTTTATATTTGACAAAGAAATCATTTGAATTTAAGCTCGGTATTAAAATAATGTTTCGAATGTTTCTGATTTGCGTCTGTAATGATTAATTCCACACTGTGGACTCCACAGCAGCTTAACAATAATAAAAAGCTTGCAACTTTTCTTCAATAACGTTATGACTATCCTTTCCATTTACATTTAAGGTAATATATTGACCTTTTTCTTAAGAAAAGAAAATTCTTTTCTTAAATAAAGTGATAAATAAAATTGTTCAGACTTCATTCAATCATTTTAATATTCATATAATAATTTATAGTATGTAACACGTTTTTACATCTTAAAGTAGGTTCTAATAGAACACGAAAGTACTTGGAATGTTAACATGCCGTTATGATGGAATAAATGATTAAAAAGGTTTATTTTAAATATAGGTAACTGTTCACTGTTTTTATTTACACAATATACATCAAACATTATCACTATATAGGTAATATACTACCCAATGGGTATGTATACAATATAAAACTTTATTTTGGAATATACATAAATATTTATTCGCTAAGTATATTCGACTACGATAATACTGAATCTTAACACTAAATATTGCATTTTGATAAAATCTGGTCATTTCTCATAATATTATCATATAAGTAACTTAAGTCGTCAAAAGTTCTTTTTTACATAAATATACAAACTCCACGAGTAATGGAATGTTTTAAATCACTATATTTTAGACTAAACTGAAATAGCTCTTGACGTTTGTTCTTCTTAGATTCGAAAAAGGTAGTAATTTATAATACAATTAATTATAGGAACTCCAGATACCATTAGCTTGTTACCAAAGAACCTCCAGGCCTGGTTCTAATCGTAATTAGTATTCGAGTTACATTTAACTGAACAATACTTTGTGTAACATTTTACTTAAATAACGCAGTTTGTAGCCTTGGTTCGCAATCCTTGACAGTAATGCTATTTCGTTATCGTTTGTTCGTAGTGAGGATAGCAAACCGCGGCATTCGACTAGTAAAACACTGGTATAGGTCGTTGTGGACGCTTATCACCACCAACAACCGCTCGGTTGGGACGTGTGACCCGAAACTGGGGGTTGATGATGCATGGGTTGGTACGGCGGTAAGGACATTCCTAATGGGGGTAGACCGTCTGGTTTTCCGAGGCACGGCCTTCCGTCTTTGACCAGTACTGGCACCGCGACTCTGCGCGGGGAATTCAAACCTCCCACGTTTAAATCATGAGCGCCCTTCTCTTGGACTGCTCTCTTTGTCTTGTACCTATGATTTTGAAACCAAATTTTGACCTGTGTAGGCGTTAAACGGATGAGGCTAGCGAGATGCTCGCGTTCTGGTGCCGACAAGTATCTCTGCTGACGGAATCGTCTCTCCAGCTCGTAAGTTTGAGCTTTAGAAAAGAGTACTCGTCTTTTGCGTTTCTTGTGTGCTAGGTTCGGATCAGAGCTGTTGTTCGAGGGCTGTTCATCGTCGTCGTGCTCAATGTCGTTATCTTGGTCTTGATCTAGGTCGTGGTCGTTGCGAGAGTCGTTTATGGGAGGGGAGGATGTGGGCACTCCTATGTAGGACAGCTCAGAAGCACGCGACGTACTATCGGGGCTCGCTTGCTGTCCAATCACACCTAGGACAAAGAAACAATTAAGTTAGGTACATTTTTTCAACACTTTTATGCGCAAATATCGTAAAATCATAATTATCCCAACGGGTATGGTAGTGTCTGAAGTGAATTTGTACACTATTTCATCCGTCCGGTATTGAACCTAACTGTCGAGCTTTACCTAGCTTGTAATCGAAGGCAAACCTATGTAAGGAAATATTTAATGCATATTGGTACTGTCCATCAATAAAGTTATTGTTAATTTTGAACTTGTTTATTATTTACTTAATTTATATTTAATGAGCTATATTATTTAGTTATAGTATCAAAAATACAAACAACAGTCATTTAAATGAATAAACCACGTTGTAGGATGTAAAAAAGTATAACAATAATATAAAAAGGGGTCCCAAACTTCGACGAAGACAAAACTAAAATATTAATTTCAATAAACAACTGTGAGAAGCGAGTACCCACCCAACTACACTACAGAAACAAGTAGCAATAAAACCGCTAAACCAAATTGTAATGCTGCTGCAACACTAAACACTCGCATCTAAATCTCCACTTAATCAGTAGGGGCGCGCTCTGTTTAACGCGAACTAAATGTTCTCATAGCGCCGAATAAATAATGGGTGCAGAGAGAAAAGAGAAAAAAATATATCGGAGCAAATATTGCATTGTTAGACGGGCTCGCTTCACACGGGGTGATAATGGCGAGGCGTAGTACGGTGGGCGTGGTACCCGCGAAGGGGGGACCCCTCGAGGGGGGCCGGGGACACTCCCACCCCTGACAGATGCCTTGCCGCTTTGTTCGGGCCCGCTCACCTCAATAAGCGCATCCAGAAAATTAAATAAAAGTACCACAGATACCAAAACCGGTTTATCTCAGCCATTTTGATCAACGTTAATGATGATGCATAAAAGAGGTGGATGCTTATTAAAGCCTACCTACTTAATAGTGGAGTCTTGGTAATAAGATTTCAAATTGAACCGGTGTTTATCTATGTATAGCACTATATTACTTAATATTCTTCTTATCTTAACACTTACAATGATGATTTTTATCATTCGGTGTAAGTCAGTCATAGAACTATTTCTGTGATGATGAGCCTACAACGGTACCTACCTACAACGATCTTCAAAATTATTTAGAACCATTTGGAGTGCTTCTTTTGTCAAAATTATGGTTCTATTTTTTTATATAAATTCTATAAAATATATAACATTATCGATATCTTATACCTAGAGACAGTGACAACATGACTGATCAAAGGTAATGCGAATGACAGACTGATAAAAGATATCAGTAAGTAAATGTTATTTAATATGATCAAAAAAACATGATCTTCTTCTCGCATTTCGCATATTGAAAATAATGGTGCAAATGTATTACAACAATTTTTGGAATGAAAATTTCTTGAATTATGATGATAAGGAAAAAGCACCGTGCCCGCGTAACTATAGAAATTGATGAAATTTTATGAAATTGATATGAACTCACAACAAAATATCTTCGATTATCATAGCAATATAGTAGTTATTTTTAAATAACAAAGAAAACTGAAATCACGTAGGTAGTCTAAACGCTATCATATTTCCCCGAAAAATCACATAATACCGTAACGTCGCAAAGTATCATCTAAATACGCTACAGATATTGTATTGACACCAAACAAAGGGGGGCAATAGAATCTATAACTGTCATCAAACAACAAACGTATAGCGTCCCCACGCCGCAACAATGATGGCAGCAGCTGCTGGTTGATTCGGCCTATTGGTGGGCGATTAGTCGCGCCTCGCGCCCGTCGGGGTAGTTATGACCCCGTGTGAGCAAGGGCGTGAGCGTAAGCTAACATAGGGAGTAAACGTTAAGATTGATGTACCTATAACAATCTATCTACCAAAAAACTCCATACATTATATGAATATGTCTATTTCTGTCTTTTCAGTCAGATTTTTTGATGTGATATTCCAATTTCGGATTTTTACAAAGATTCAGATTTAAAAAGTATTAATGTTTTATACATTTCCGCGCACTCTGTATTACCTGCGATCAATGATTAATTTCAAATAAAATTGCCTATAAATAAAACAAGTTTTAACGGGTTAGATTCAATGATTTTATTTATTTATTGACGTTTCGCAACCTTTGCTGATTGTTTTATTTAATGAGTGATGTGCGTGAAAATCTAAGAAAGAAATAAAATTGACTATATTTATTAAAAAAAATTGCCACTGGAACATTGAAGAAAAGTTCCTCATAATAGTTTTATATTATTAATTTTACTATACATGCATTGAAGGCGAATTATGTAAATTGAATAATAATTATTTAAAAAAGGTACACCTACAGGAACCATGGATAACTACGTAATATGTCTTAACTTTAAGTGTCTCGTGTGTTAAATCTGTTCCCATATGCAATAAATACAATATTTTAATCGATTAATTTAAACAGGTCCTTAACAGCGTACCTATATTTTAATATTGCACAGTACTTAAAGTTTCGGACCTATTTAAGATTCTATAATCAGAGGGTTTATATAATGGTAAGATGAATTAAAGAACTTTTAAACATATTCAAAAGAGTTCTACATAATAGATAGAAATAGCTCTAAAAATTACGTACTTTTTCATCTGTTTTCCAAACTAAAAAAACAATCAATCTTCGAAGTCAATCAAATTAATACTTATTAGAAAATAAAACCTTTTTAACAATTTTTATATCTTCATATTAAAGATTTAAGTAAAGGTTCATTGAAAAGTGAGTATCAATTCTTAATTTGTATTGTTTTTATTTTCTTTTTACGAAGTCATCAAAAAACAAATCATAAAAAAACATAATTGGCGCAATAATTGCGTAGCAATCTTACAAAAACAGGCAATCGAATTACAACTCACTGCCTCCACCTCCATATGAAGTCAGTTAAAATATCAATCACATGTTCTGGCTGTGTACTGTTATAAGCAAAGCATTGTTTATATTAAATCTAAACAAATGACAGTACAAAAGTTTACAAGTGTCCATTATGGACCTGACTTTATCTGAAATAGATTTCAGAAATGCCAATACCTAATTCGGCCCAGCAAGTACGTGAACATTTTCCATCACGTCGTTTGACTTGTAATCCCGTTTGAAAGTAAAGAAATGGGTTAATTTATCCTTTTTTTCATCTATGTATATAGATATATATTGATCATCCTTGGAAAATCTGTTTGTAATAAACAATGGAAGAAAATTCGAAGTAAATAATTTGCGAGACAATTATCGTCGTTGTAAAACAATCGAAAAGCACGATTACATACTGCCGAAAGTGTTAGCGATAAGCGATAAAAATAATTAATGACAACAAACAGATTAAGCCTTTGAAAACACTCCATTCGAGGAGCATTTCAAAAAATAATCTCCACCTCTCGAATGTTACTACCAAATACATATTAGTTTCGAGTGGGTGGGTCAATGGACATTCAGTTTTGTGTGATAATTTGACACTGGCACTTAAAAGATCCTACTATTTCATTGATAATATTCTTACTTTTGCGGAAATTCGTATTCATAATAAGTATAATCAATCACGATAGACTTGAAATAAAAATTCTGAAGCATTTACCAGATAACGAAGCAGTCGAAATGCAGATAGGTAATATCTAAAATTCAATTGCAAAAGTAAAAGGAAATTATTATTTTTCAGCATTAATCTGTTGCATTTATAAAACTAAAGAATGTTTTAACTAGAAAAATTTCAACTCGGTCAATGTTTCAGACAGGACTAGAACCTGAGTCTTCTAGTAAACCCTTTGCCTCTTTTTAGAGGCGTTTCAATATTGTAACGATTTCGAAGGAGCCTGTGTTTTTCCATTAAAAACCATAAAAATGATTCATGCCTAATAATTAAGCTAAAAACTAAAGAAATATTTAAGTATCGCTTAATCGAATTTATCATCATCATCATCTCAACAAACATTGATATCTTGAAGTGAGACTAACAGCAAGTTACAGAAAAGCAATATCGGAATGTATGTCAAAGAAAATGTGATAAGAGCTGATAATATTTTTTCAATAGTAAACTACATCTGATCTTATTATATATCGGAGTTACGAAAAGACAGCTATGATAAGTAAGCTTGTTTATTTGTAATCAAGCTGGAAACTGCTGATAGGGTTTAGACCTAGCTAAACTACAATGATAAAGGTTTAGGAAAGTGGCTATTGGATCAGATATCTTCAATATTTTGTTAAGGCAGCCAGTAAACCTCATATGTAAGTATACCACTCCGAAGGCGTTCACTAACGTTAATTTTGTTAAGACAGCCAGTAAACCTCATATGTAAGTATACCACTCCGAAGGCGTTCACTAACGTTACTACTTTCGTATTTAATTATGTAAATAAAAGGCAACCATTACCGACTGACTGATGATGATCAACGCACAGCACAACCCACTGAACGGATTGCGCTGAAATTTGGCACACATATAGGTATTATAATGTAGGCGTGCGATAAGAAAGGATTCTCCAAAACTCACCCCCTAAAGGAGTAAAACGGAGGTTCAAAGTTTGTAAGAAGCACCGTGATCGCGAGAAATCAACTCTAACGTGAGAGAAGCCGAGGGCAAAAGATATTATAATACTAAATTACAGATATAACCAATGAAGTTAAGTTACATAAGTATTAGGTATATTACTTCCTTGGGTAAACCATTCAAGTATGTCAGTATAACTACTCAAAATGAAGTATCATAGAAATAGAGTATTCAATAGCTACCGAATTCAATCCCATTCTGACAAAAGCCGCAATAAACATGAAGTGCCGATCACTTTATGGAAAACCAGTTTTTCAATGAAACACTTTGCAGTGATTTATAATTACCTATTCTTCTATTAAGCTTTGTAATTATAAAATAACAATTTAGGAGAGAATGGCATAGAATGGCGACAAACTTTGTATGAATTAACCACGCAGTATCACGAGTAACTCAGATTAAGAAGTTGATAGGGAGAAAATAACAGGAAATAGTAAATCGTACATAAAAATATCTATACTTCTCTAAAGTGGAAATTGCATCTACTATTACAAATGTAGCTGAACACGTACAAGACTAAATGAAAACAAAAAGTTCTTGTTATTTTTGTATTCTGTGATTAGAGATATTGAAACTTACAAATACATATCTATTGACATAAAAAAAACTAACCTGGTTTCTGAAATAAAAGCTCTCAGTCACATTCTCTCAGTTTCATTGCTGAATACACTCGGTATTTGTCATATAACTAAAAATTTACTAAGTGCTAATCAGACTCGCATACAAAAGGTGTCGTACCATAGTAAAAGACTTAAGATTAAATTGTTCTGAGAAAGCTATCGAAGGAACGCAGAACAGTACCTGTACTGTACCCCCAGCACGAACCATTATCGAATTCGAATAGTTTGAAAACCGAAATGTCAATGTCAAATTTTGTATGGAAACTTGAAGAGCAGCGGCACAAAGTACGTAACGAGAACTAAAAATCAGTACACATTTAACAATGACATTTCGGACTCCCAAACGATACGAATTCGATATTGGTTCGTGCTAGGGGTACTGGTTTATTTGTACTTGAAATTATAATTCTCGAATTTTCATTATTAGTCATCCATCATAGTTACAATAGAAATATACATTAAGTGAATATTAAAACTGTTTTTCTAAACCGCTTTAAAAGATATTTTATAACCCGCGGACAGGATGAACAAACGGACAGCGGAGATTTGGTAATAAATTTGTGTTGTCATTTTTTTTTAGAAATCTTAAAAAATTGCTCTTACTTTAATCGGTATGTTTAATAAATCCTGCATGTTATAATAAAAAATATCCAATTATTTTTTATAAGTAGTTAAGTATGCAACACTCATACAATAATGCGACCTAAGGTGACCTACGCTATTCTCTACTACGCTACGGACGTTCCTCAATATTTAACACTTTAATACTGACTGACTAACCCATTCCAACATCTAAAACTCGGCAACACTAAGAGCTTGAAAGATACGCGGTACTACTTCCTCCCGTGTGACCGAAGCTATGGGGAATAAAAAAATACAGTCTTTTAGCAAAATATTTACCAGTGCTGTCGTGATGTTCCAACGATAGCCAGGGTTGGTGGTGCCTCAGCAGCTCATGAGAGTAGTGGTGTTGAGGGTAAGGGGGCAGCTCGAGGGAGCACCCACCCAGCGCCTGCGGGGGTGCTGCCTCAAGGCCTTTGCCCTCGTTCAGGCCCAGGATGTCCGAGATCTGGAAGCCGGGCCTCTGCCCTGGCATCTTCATACTGTCCAGGAGCCTGTAAAGATATAAGCTATTAGTCTGTGAATATAACAAAAAAAGTGACAAGGAACACGAAAACCGGTTACGCTTTATTCACTATGGTCACACAGAGTGGTTGTTAAAAATCACTTTCCATATATAAGTATAAAAAAATATATAAATAGTGTTAACAAAAATAGTAAAGAAAATGAAGATAAAGTGACTGATTCTGTAAGCAGATAAGTCCTATACTCGCAATATTTAAATATTCTCTTAAGAAAAGATTTAAACGCGTATCAACATCTACATTTTAAGGTAACAAATATTTTAAAACCAAAATAAAACTAAACCCGACCCGTCACAGTATCTGATAAACTTAAATAAAAGACAAAAAAAAACTTTACAAGCCGACACCCTGACAAGCTTTAAGCACGTCTAAAGACTTATAATTAAATGAAAACACACTGCATTCCATAACTGCAGACAATGTGCGGGTAAAGTGTAGCTCTCGAGAGTACGTGACCCTTATAAAGGAATACTCGTAAAGATTCAATATAGACCATTAATATATCAGAATGTTATTGCGTCCGTCGGCGGAACGAAGGACTCGTACGTGACCGATGAATGGGCGGCTTCGAAAGCCTTTAGCAGGTTGTAAACTTGTAAACAACACTATTAACAAGGTCTCCGAGGTGCAAAAATGGTTACGAATACACGTCAAGATCCTTAGCTTTCCTGTCATTCTTAAAACGCATAAAAATGGAGTATTACTCATGCGCATTTTGTTTTTAATTTTAAATCAAATTGCTCCGACGTGACGTTGGACTGTAAGGTTGGCCAAAATGGTTATCTAAAGAAAATATTTGCAACCGGTCAAAAAGTCCTTTCTTTAAAATTTTACCTTGTAAAAGACAATATATCTCAACTTCTTAAAATTTGATGTCATATTTATAATAGGCACTGGGATTAAAACATCACTTTCATATAACAGTCCGCTGAATAATAATTAACACCGAAAATCACTGAGCGTGATATCCAAGAGCTGTCGCTCACCCGGGGAAAGCTGACCGAAAGGCGGCAGGGTACAACGCTGGTAGGAAGGCCGGGCCCCACGGCGGCAGCAGGATGGGGCTCCACAGCAGGGACGCCGGCGGCAGTAGCGGCGGCGGCGAACGCGCCGCTTCGCCCTCCTCGCACTTCATCTCCCGGCCGGGAGAGCTCGCCTTCGGAATAATCTTGACGGTCCTCGACACTCGCGCGCACGTGCTACGTCCCGAGACGCCGCGGCTGCACTGAACGACCCTCGAGTGGTCCTCGGGGTGAAGAACACCCCTCCGCCCTCGTGCCTCGACAGCCTACTCAGCGCGGGACTAACCTCGAGGGTGCTCCACTGACCCCGACCAATCCCCGAGCCGCGCTCGCTGGGCGGGCCACGCGCCCGCCAATCACGGCATCCCCGAGACTTCTCGACAAAAAATTTGAGTATACACTTTGAATAGAGGAGCTTTCGACGCAGCGTTATGTTATGTCGCTTTTTGTAATGAGAGCGAGCGTTAAGCCCATTGTTGAGTCGGGTTCGTTATGGACGCCGCTCTGAATGCCCGGATAACGATTTCCACTTAGAATGTTTTTAATAAGGTCGTGTAAGCTTATGTTTGGAGAACGTATGAAATGTTTTTTCGTGGGTTGTCCCTATGATATAAATGTAGATATTTTTTTAATAGAAATATTTGCCCTTTGTTGCAAACTGTTTGTATAATGTTCAATAGCAGTTAAATACAGACGAAATATGTTGAAAATTCTAGTATTGAGTAAACACTTTTTTTTAGTGAACAGGTTTGGGTCGGATGAGTGGTCCGCACATGTGGGTGTACTTAGCACAATGTCCGTGGATAGACAATACGAGAAATGGTGTGATTCCTTGAACAGGTATAAAAACTCGGGACTTATCTTCTAATGACTTGCACGTGTGCGCAAGCTATTGTTTCACACAATGCTTTTGTTGTTCGTAACAAATCGCAAAAACTTTAACACTAAATGCGATATTGGAATTTTAAAAAGAACTTCTTAAGAGTTATTGAAGAAATGATTAAATGGAAATAATAAATTATCATGCAAAATAGTCATACTTAATTCTCTAATTAAATACATACTTTCAGTAGATCTGTACCCAAACCGTTCTTAATAAATCATGCGTGAAAATAAAATTAAAATGCTTAATTACTGGTTTTTGAACAGTCTAAGCAAGTAAATTATTATTAATCAATTTTCGTCGTTTTTCATTTGTTTTCATTATAAACAATTGCTTATGCTTGTTTGTTAAATTTGATTTCATTACTCTGGTTTTTTTACTAGCATAAACTTAACTAAGTGAGCGGCATCATGTTACAATAGAGCTTTTGTTTAACTGAAGAAAAGCCCTTGTCGAAACATCTTAACTTATTTATTGTTTATTATAATGGCAGTTTGTTTTACGACGTGCAGGTGTGCAACTGAAGATTAAAAAGAAGAATAGAGTACACCGAGCGATGAATCAATACTTTTTGGTCAAGATTACCAACGATTATTTACAGCAAAAGGCTCTTGTTTGCACTTGTATTCATTACTCGCCAGATGTTGATTTTTAACTGTAACAAGCCTAATAAACTTGATTTTTTATAAATACTTATAATATTAAGCACTTTATTCAAGGATTCGCAAAGTTTTAATAAACTCTTTCATTTAGCTTCAGAGTATTTTAAAACATAATCATTACATATATTATTTGATGTGATAGAAAGTTTACCAATAAATAACTAATTAAGTACCCTCTATATAATCCCATAAAAGTTATTTGTATAGTTTATCTGTAATAGGTACGTATTATTCAGTAGGATTATGTACTTAGAAATTAATTTTAATTAAATATTATTCTTTACTTTAATTTGAATTTTTGACATTGTAAATTAATTTTAATTAACTATTGACATTGTACGTCGTAAATAGGCAGACTGTTTGGATCTGTATTTTAACACATAATGGCACCATCTTATTGTACCCAGTTTTAACGATGAATAAATGAATCCGAATCTGAAACTCCTAGATAGAGCAATCCAAATAAACCACGCAAACAAAACGGCTCATATTAAGCGCGTGCGTGATTCTAATGTGAGATTGTTTGAGAGCAATCGATGTGTCCGTGTGTGGCGACGAGCGTATCTACCATATAAAGTAGATATTTATGGCCGCTTCCGTGCAGTTAATACGGTAACTAGGCGTGTATATAATCAAAGAACACCTAGTTTTGTATTCCTCTCTCTATCAAACTATGGGCTCGGCAATTCACAAATCCAATGGGATTCGCCATGCGGCTGGAGTGAGGGTTAAAAAGTTTTGCCTCTTCACATATTTTTAACTTAACAGAAATAATCCGAAAAAACTGTTGTATTTTTGGGAGCAATATTAAATAAAACCGTCCAGTGCGTCGGACTCGCGCACCGAGGGTTCCGTACAAACCTGTAGGTATATTAAAATAATTATTAAAAAATATTTTTTATTATATGATGTAACTAAAAATTTACGGTTTTCGCAATTTTTCCTTTATCTGTACTATAAGACGTTACTTCGTACCAAATTTCAAGATTCGAAGTTCACGGGAAGTACCCTGTAGGTACGGCTGTATCTTTTGATTGCTTTGGCTTAGAAGTTTGATTTTTTCACAGCTCCAAGGGACAGTAGACTTGAATATTAGATATGAATTTCAGTGTGATATCTCCACGCGTTCCTGAGAGCAACAGTCTTGACAGACGGACGGGCGGACAACAAAGTCATCCTATAAGGGTTCCGTTTTTTCCTTTTGAAGTACGGAACACTAAAAACTGTCATGATTATTTTTCCGTATTGTTTCAATAAATTTGCCGCTTCACAGCATATACGGAAACGATAAGCTTGAATGGTAAAAAAAATTTTTTTTGGTAAACCATCTTATGACCGGACTTTACACAAGTTGCTTAACTTCCACGGTTGCAGACTGAACGCGCTAACCACTGCACCACCGAGCTCCTCATATTAATCTTTAAGTATGGAAGTCAAATATTATTAACACTAGTGCGGACGTGGAGACTCCACGTCAGGCTACTAGACTTTTTTTCTAGAAACTGATTCCGAACCGCGTCAAAACCCTATCTTTATCCGAATATAGGTCTCGAATAAGAAAAAATAGGTATTTGTAATCAACTTACTTCATTATAATTATAGAAAACTAATGGCCCACCCTCGTTTTGCTTCGGTGTAGAACTGTAGTGTAGACTATAGTGTTTGTTCAAAGGCTTGTATCATACACAATGACTTTCTTCATAATAATTATAAACCTTCCATTCCAAGTAAAAAAATCGTTGCGTGGTTTAGGACCCGTTGTACCGAATGCAACATTGCACTTCTGTTCCGATTTGAAAAATTCTTTTTGTATTGTACAGTGCATTTATCGAGGAAGGCTATAGGCTATTTATTACCAGGCTACGACCAGTAGCAGCGGAGCATCGATGAAAAATGTTGCAAAAACGGGTAAAAATATTCCATTTGTGAGATTCCGTTGCGTGCGCTGGGTAAACAGTTAAAGTTACACAAAAATAATGTATGACGGAATTCTTCCGCTTTAAAAGTTCTGTAAAAAAGTCCACGATAGCCTATGTCCATATTTTCAGTTTGACTTACTATAAACCATTTTCTTCAAATTAACACGGGTAATACCGCAGGGGGCCTCTAGTTGTGACATAACTGTAATAGTTAGACATATGGTATCGCGGACTTATTTGAAGATATTGGTATCCTCTATAAAACTTTAGTACATCACTTTGCTCAATTATTAATGACTTCCGCAGCGTACGCGATATAAGTCTCTTTTTTGGTATTTTTTACACACGTTGGGTTACATTATCGAAGTTTTCATACGGCACCCTATCGTTTTTGAAAATAAACTATAGCCTATATTAATCAGTGATAATGTAGCATTCAAATGGTGAAAGAATTTTTAAAATCAGCCCTGTACTTTTTGAGCCA